GTCTTGTCGGATTGTTGCGCAGCCCCAATGGGTTGCACAAACCTCGGGCTCGTGGCCCCGGACTGTGCTTCTTGTCGTGCTGGGTTGCACAAACCTCGGTCCTGTAGTTCGATAGCTTTGTGTCCCGCAATGGGTTGCACAAACTTCGGGCCAGCTTAGGTCGTCCTTGTGCGTTGTCTGTGCGGATCCCTGTGTCGACGATCTTAGGCAAAACGTTGGTGTTTTGGCGACTTGTCTCTTTCGTCACGATGGTCACCACCTCTTGACTCTTCTGGTCGGTCTGTCATCCCTGTGTCTTGTCGGCGCGATTCGATTGCCATCAGATACATGCAATGCGAATCTCTTTCTGTCGGATGGATGTTGTCCGATAAGTCTTTCTGTCGAGTAGGCAAAGGCTTTGTTGTCCGATGTGTCTGTGTCGGATGTCTTTTTTTTTTTTTTCTTTTGTTTTCTTTTGGAATACCACCACCCCGTCGATCTCGTTATCGCCCTCGCTCAAGAGGTCGATATCTCCGTTGATTACCACGGATGCGAGCATGTGTTGGTAACTCCATCCGCGGTTTCTCTTTCATCTTCTCTTCCTCAGTCTCGGGCCCCCTGGCAAGATGCGTGAGCCTGGAGTCCTTGCTCCAGGGCTTCCGCACCCAACCGGGGTCCCTCTCCGAGGTCGAAACGTGTAAACTTGGCTTCGTCCAGCCTGCGGTGCCCTCGCCAACACCGTTCGCCCGGTCCAAGGAGTCTCTTCACAGGGCTGAGCCCCCTCCTCACCGCCACTCTCATGGCTGCCGTGGGCCTCGACGTGCTGCGCGGTTGTAGTACGTCGAGGCCCACGGCAGCGACGAGATCGCCATGCGGGGGGGTCCAGTACTGTGAAGAGACTTCTTGGACCGGACGAACGGTGCTGGCGAGGGCACCGCAAGCAGGGCGAGGCAACGACCCCCGCCCCCCCCCCCTCCCCCCCAGCGGGCTTTTGCGAGCACTCAGCCCACCCCGCTGGGGTGTATGCCACAGACGGTCGCAGGTCTCGTCCGCTTTTGCGTCGGACACCCACGAAAACTTGGTGGGAGAGACTCGGTGGACAGGACGTTGGGCGTGGGCGGGTCGTCCGGGTCCCACGGTCCCAAGGGGATGTCCCCGTGTGTGTATGTGTGTGTGCGTGGTGTGCCTGTGTCCAAGCTCTTGTGGCCCGCGGGAACGGGCGGATTGTATGCCATGACGATGTTCATTGCCTGCGTTTGTGGTTGTGTTGCTCGGAGGAGTCTTTCTGGCACGCAAAGGGGTTGTTGCTGTGGAGGCTTCGGCCGAGGATTGGGGTTTTCTTAGAGGGAGGGTTCTTTCGTGGGTGCTTGCAGCGCAGGGAGGTTGTCGGTGCCGCGGGTGCGGCGGAGTTGGCTTTTGCAGTCGTTCCGGCGGCGGCGGCAACGATGCGGGTGTTTGGAACGCGTGTGCGCGGTCCGGGATGTGGGAGATGTTCAAAAGGAAATGTTTTTGGTGCTTTTGGGCTTGCTGTGGTGTCGGGCAGACGCGGCTGCGGCGAGATCTCAATGGAGGAGATCAGAGACGCCCCGGTCAGAAACTGAGGAAATACCCGGAGGAAACCGTGTCTGAGGGATTCCGGGGACAAAGAATGGTCAAAAGCAGATATTCCGCGCCAAAAATGTAGAAAAATGGAGAGAAACTTGATTGTTGATGATGAAGATGGAGAAGGATGTTCCTCTGAAGGGAGGAGGGAGACGTGTCTTTTGTAGTTTGGGCGCTGACGAGCTCTGGACGCTAAGGGGGTTCCGCTAGAAAGAGTTGGGGCTAAGTCCTCTGGGGGGGGACAAGTGATTCGTCCAGGCGGCTTCAGGCGTCCAGCCGCCCAGGTTTGTTGTGAGCCAGTCATTTTGCCAAGACCCAAACTTTATGTCAGCCTGATGCCTCGTTGTGTAGAGGCATGCAAGGACTTGACGGCGAGGATGAGGCATTTAATGCTCTGTCAGTGCCCGATGGATGCTTCGCAGTGCGCGGAATCAGGTTTTGGAAGTGAGGTGGCGCGGAACTGCATAGTTCCGCCGTCTTTCACTGGAGTGAAGTGGCATTGGGCACCGCTTTGCGAGACATGTCACTTTGTGTCTGGTCCACGACGTTCAGCTTGGGAGGTGTGCTGGTGCGATGAATGACTCATAGTGCCTGAATATATGTCGTCGGTAGGGCGTGGCGCGAAGCTGCGTCGTTTGGCAGGCGCATATTGGGTGCCTCGCTCGTTGGGCAGAGGGAACGCGCCTCGTATTCTCCGATCACTGCGTTTATTGGCGGCCTCACTTGTTGGGCAGAGGCAACGTGTCTCGAACTTCCTGATCTATGCGTTTATTGGGGGCCTCACTCGTTGGGCAGAGGGACCGTGTCTCGACTCCCTGCCGTGTCACTCTATAAATGCCTCAAAGTGCCCGAGCCAAGGTCAACAGTGGGGCATGGCGCGATGCTGAATCGTTCTGCAGGCCTTCATTGGGGTGCCTCACTTGTTGGGCGCAGGGCCGTTCCCTCTGATCCATGTCGTTCATCTTTGGTTGTGTCCTTGCCGTGTAACGAGATAAATACCTCAAGCCTCCCAAGCCAAGGTCGATGGTGGGGCATGGCACGATGCTGTGTCGTTCCGCCGGCGTTCTTTGGAGTGTCTTGCCTGTCAGGTGGAGGGAAGGTGTCTCATACTCTCTGTTCCATGGCGTTTGTCTTTGGTGGTCTGTCTTGCCTGTCAGGCGGAGGGAACCTGTCATGTACTCCCTGTCATGTACTCCCTGTCTCATACTCCCTGTCTCATACTCCCTGTCTCATACTCCCTGTCATGTACTCCCTGTCATGTACTCCCTGTCATGTACTCCCTGTCTCATACTCCCTGTCTCATACTCCCTGTCTCATACTCCCTGTCATGTACTC